CTTCCGAGAAGTCCCCGGATAAGCCCTAGAACTCCCTGGATAAGTTCTATGGACATCTCCGTAAAGTCATATGAACTTTCTCGAGAAGTCATATGGACTTCCCCAAAAAAAAAGCCTTATGAAATTCCTCGTGATGTTCTATGAACTTCCCCGAGAACTATTTTGAGTTCCTCTGAGAAGTCCTATGAACATCCGCAAGAAATACTACGGCCTCCCCTGAAAAGTTCTATGGACTTCTCCAAGAAGGCCTATGAATTCCCCCGAGGAGTCCTATGGACATTCTCGAAAAGGACTGCGATCTTCCTCGAGAAGTCTTATGGACTTCCCTAAAAAAGCCCTATGAAATTCCTCGAGAAGTCCTATAAACTTCTCCGAGAACTCTTTTGAGCTCCCCTGAGAAGTCCTATGTAGTTCTCCAAGAAGTCATATGAGCTTCTGCGAGAAGCTATAATAGCTATAAACTCGCCCGAGAAGTATTATGAACTCTCCGGATAAGTCCTATGGACATCTCCGAAAGGTCGTATGAACTTCCTCGAGAAGTCATGGACTTCCCTAAAAAATCCCTATGGAATTCCTCCGCGTTCCTATAAATTTCTCCGAGAACTCTTTTGAGTTCCCCTGAGAAGTCCTATGGACATCCACAAGAAGTACTACGGCCTCCCCTGAGAAGTTCTATGGACTTCTCCAAGAAGTTTTATAGACTTCTCCAAGAAGTCCTATGAATTTCCCCGAGAAGCCCTATGAAGTTCCCTGAAAAGTCGTACGGACAACGCCAAAAAGTGTTATAAACTCTTCAGAAAGGTACTATGAACTCTCTGGATAAGTCCTATGGACATCTCCGTAAAGTCATATGAACTTCCTCGGGAAGACAAATGAACTTCCCAAAAAAGCCATATGAAATTCCTAGTGGAGTTCTATGAACTTCCCCGACAACTCTTTTGAGCTCCCCAAAGAAGTTCTATGGACTTTTACAAGAAGTACTATGGAATTCTCCAAGAATTCCTGTGAACTCTCTCGAGAAGGCCTATGAAGTCCCCCAAAAAGCACTACGGACAATGCCACAAAGTGCTTTAAACTCTTCCGAGAAGTCCTATGAACTCCCTGGATAAATCCTAGAACTCTCCAAAGAAGTCCCACGGACATCTCCGTAAATTCATATGAACTTCCTCGGGAAGTCATATGGACTTCTCCAACAAAGCCCTATGAAATACCTCGTGACGTCCTATGAGCTTCCCCGAGAACTCTTTTGAGCTCCCCCGACTTCCCCGACAACTCTTTTGAGCTCTCCCGAGAAGTCCTATGGACATCCACAAGAAGTACTACGGCCTCCCTGAGAAGCTCTATGGCCCTCTCCAGGAAGGCCTATGAACTCCCCCAAGAATTCCTATGGACATTCTCGAAAAGTACTGTGAACTCCCTTGAGAAGTTTTATGGATTCCCTAATAGAAAAATACTACAAAAAGTTTTACGGGGTAACTTTTTCATTTATTTATTTATTTATTTATTTATTTTTATTTATTTTATTTGTCGTCAATCAGTGTAGACCGGTATGATTCCCGTTTATTACGGCTCGAAACGAGAAGTCCTATGGGCATTCCATAAAAGATATTTGAACTTAGTCAAATAAGCAATACATAATACAATCCATATGAGCATAGGACAAGACCTCTCCGCCCAAGTAACATTTCTAGTTTTATGAAGGTTCTGTAGACCATGATTTAGACTTGTAGAATGCTATAAAACCTTGATAAAACTTGCAATGTTGCTTGGGCGGGAAGTCCTATGAAATTTTCCGATAAATCATACGAACTCACTCAAGAATTCTTATGGACATTCCAGATTAGTCTTAAGGGCCATTAGACATTAGCTCCGTTTGCGATGCTTTCAAGTAAATTTGACAGTTTGTCAAAATATTTAGCTGTCACTATGCCGCAACGCATCAGATCCTGATCTAATGTGGGTGGCCCTTTATGGAAACCCCGAAAAGTTCCATGTCCCCGTGAAGTCCTGAATAGTCCCCAGATATCTCCAAAAGGTAATATGCACTTGATGGATTAGTTCTATGGACAGCCCCGAGAAGTTTTATAAACGCTCCCGAGAAGTCCTAATGACATTCCAAAACAGTCCTATAAACTCCCGCAAGTAGTCTTCTGAGCTCTCCCGAGAAGTCCTACACCCAACCGGAGAATGAAAGATTCTCTTTCAGTTTTGTATGAAAATTGAACTGAAACTCTAAAAAATCACGACATGAATAGATTCTGTAATGTGATCATCAGAAGACGCTTCAAACTATTGTGAAAAGTAAATCCTAGCGTATTTTATGAACTGAATAATTTTCCATCAATTCTTTAATGCTAGAAAATTTGCTTATAGACGTTTTGTATGAATTACTTTACTCTGAAAAAAAGTCTGTAGTGAGTATAAAAACAATCGTTACAGTTTTTGTAAGAACTATCTGTAGTTGTGATAAATGAATTGTTTTTTTTTTACAAGCCAGTTGTTTTTCGTGTATGGACAAATTCCTTGGGCGTCCTTAAGAGGTTATATAGAATCCCCCGAAAAGCCATATGAACTTGCCCGAGAAGTCCTATGAACGTCCACTAGAAGTCCTTTGGGAGACTTATAGACCTCTCCGAGAATTTCTATGAAAGTACACAAAAAAGTTCTATCAACTTCCCCGAAAACAGCTATGAACTCCTCTAAGAAGTCTATGGATATACCTAAAAAATCCTATTTAAATCCCCGAAAACAGCTCTTAACTCTCCAAGGCAGTCGTATGAACCGTCATACCGTATATACGTATAACGGTAATAACGAGACGTCATACCGACAGCCCTAAGAATTCATACAAACTACCTCGAGAAGTCTTATGAACTCGTACCGATCGTATGAACTGTCTCGAGATATCCTATGAACTATTTTGAGAAATTCTGATAACTCTTCGGAGAAATCCTATGGACATCCTCAAAAAGTCCTATGCACTCCACAGAGTAATTAAATGAACTCCTTCGAGAAGCCCTATCGACATCCCCGAAAAATCCTATCAACATCCCTCGAGAAGTTATATGAGCTTTCTTGAGAAATCCTATGAACTCTCCGAAAAGTCCATCCCCAATAAATCCTATTGACATCTCCAAGAAAGTCGTTTGAACTCCCCAGAAAATATGGACATTCCCAAGAAGACCTAACAACTTCCCCGATGAGTCCTTTGAACTACCCCAAGAAATCCTATAAACTTTTTCGGAGTAGTCCTATGGACATATTTAACAGTCCTATGAACTCTCCGAAAAGTCTTGTGGGCGTCGCTGAGAAATCCTATTAATATCTCCAATATGTCCTATAAACTCCCCCGAGAAATCGTATAAACTCCTTGGAGAACTTCTATGGACTTTTCCAAACATTCCTATGAACTCATCTAAGTATACCTACGAATTCGTCCGAGAAGTTCCATCGACATCCCCGAGAAGTCCTACAAACTTGTCCAAAAATTCCTTTGAACTTTTCCGAGAAATCTATTGAACGCGCTCGAGAAATCCTATGAACTTTTCAGAAAAGTTCTATGACCTTCTCCAAACAGTCCTATCAACTCGTCAGAGAAGTCCTAAGAACACCTCGGAGAGCTCCTATCGAAACCCCCGAGACGTCATAAGAACTTTCCATAGAAGTTCTATGAACTCCTCCGAGAAGTTCTATCATCATCCTCCTAGAAATCCTATGAACTTTCCGATAAGTCCTATGGACATCTCTTTATGGATTCCTCGAGAAGTCCTATGAACTTATTTGAGATGTCCTTCCGATTGAGATTAACCATCGAGAAATTAAAACAACTACCTTATGGGATAGAATTGAAAAAGGAAAGTGACCCCATATTAAAAGCTGACCAATAGTTCGTAAAATGAACCACATGTTGAATATGAAATAGAAACTCAGGTCAATGCGAAAAAAAAACCGTCGTCAGTTCCAGTTCCGTTGCTTTAAAATTAGTAAAACACGTTCCGTAGACATCTAACCCAATCGAAAACCATCCAGTAGAATCGTGCTAGCGCCATCTTAGACAACCCTCAGCAACTGAGGAAACTCATCTGTAGATTGAAAACCTTCAATGTATCACTTGCACTGGAAGACACGTCGTACAATCTTCACATGGCAGCTCAGCCGTCAATCTGTGCCGGAAGCTACAGAGAGCCTAGAGAGTACCACCACCGACTAAACCTAAACGCTTTCTCAGATCAAGCGATTTTCCTCACTGCTAGTGCCTCTCGTTCTACTTCCGTTTCTCATCTAGTGTGTGCGGCTGAAATCACCTTCAATCTCCACCCTCGTCGCTTCCTTCTCTGACACTGTATCCTTCTACAGCTCCAATCCACAAAAAACAACACTACTCCACACCACACCGAAAAACTTAACCCCCACATCTCATCGATCCTATCAAGAAGTCCCGCCGAGACCTGTTTCCTGCTCTGGCTCACCTATCCTCACTTCCGCGTGCAATCCTATTCTCTTCCCCCAATCGTGCACTGTGTAAACCAGTAATTCGTCTAACCCGCTGTGTATCGCTCGTTAATTCTCTCGTAACTCAATTCAAGTAACCTTAGGAACATAGACAGCAACAACTACAACTACAACAACGGCATTAGCAACGACACCCGACTGGATCAACCACATCAAGCATCGGCTTCGCTCCATCACTACTGACTCATTCACTGATCACCAACAGCGCCTCTAATCCTACTTATGCTAGCTTCGCCCTAACTTACAAGCTCACGCACCAGCTATCTCCGCTATATTGGTTGCCTATTTTCTAGCCGTAGCAGTAGCTGATCCGCAGTGGTCCAATGTTTAATCTCATTCCTAAGACATGAGCTTCGTACTAATTTGCAGTAGTTGTTGATCGCTTCGGAATCGAACGGAATGGTTTTTTGGAGGTTTACTAATACGTTGTTCTCGTTCTCTATTCCCCGCTGCGTTCGTGCGATTGTTTGGTTTGCCAACAATCGCAGAGGAAGCAGTAACAGCAACAGCAACAGCAATAGTAACAGCAACCGTAATCGCGGTAACCAGCAGTACATCACCGATACGCAGTCGACTGTATCCGCCAACCGAGGAACCCATCCACCGTAAGTTCAATGACCTCTTCTGGAGGAACAGGAATTTATTTTTGCATTCATTGTAGACGTGCTCGCCCGACGCTGAAGCCCGCACAGAACATTGTTTCGAAGGCGCAGGAGTTCGTCGACATCTACCGCTATCCACCGAGCCGTCCGGAACCTCTGTACCCACAGCCGACCCCGGATAAGACTGCTGCCAAGTGCCGCAAGGACGTTTGCCTGCTGCCTGATTGCTATTGCGGTGCAAAGGACATTCCCGGAGAACTGCCCGTTGAGCAGGTACCTCAGATTGTGCTACTGACCTTCGACGATTCCGTCAACGATCTGAACAAGCAGCTGTACCAGGATCTGTTCGAACGTGGACGTATCAATCCCAATGGTTGCCCGATCTCCGCTACTTTCTACGTGTCGCACGAGTGGACCGATTACAGCCAGGTCCAGAACCTGTACGCTGACGGACACGAGATGGCATCCCACACGGTTTCGTAAGTTAGCGAGCAGTCGCATTTTCTGACTGATTCTGATTTCAAGTTTTACTCCCTTACAGTCACAGCTTCGGTGAAGCATTCTCGCCGAAGAAGTGGGCCCGTGAAATCGCTGGCCAACGAGAGATTCTGTCCGCGTACGGTGGTGTCAAGCTGGAGGATGTCCGTGGAATGCGTGCTCCGTTCTTGTCTATTGGTGGTAACAAGATGTTCAAGATGCTGCACGACTTCAACTTCACGTACGACTCTTCGATGCCGGTCTACGAAAATCGTCCACCGAGCTGGCCGTACACGCTGGATTACAAGATCTTCCATGACTGTATGATTCCGCCCTGCCCTACCAAGAGCTATCCAGGTAAGAGATATGGTTGACATCACCACAACCACCACCAATCTTATCATTCGTCTCTTTCCGCAGGTGTTTGGGAAGTTCCTATGGTGATGTGGCAGGACCTGAACGGCGGCCGCTGCTCGATGGGTGACGCGTGCTCCAACCCAGGAGATGCCGAAAACGTGAACAAGATGATCATGAAGAACTTCGAACGGCACTACACTACCAATCGGGCACCATTCGGACTGTACTATCACGCAGCCTGGTTCACGCAGCCGCACCATAAGGAAGGCTTCATACAGTTCCTGGACACGATCAACGCGATGAAGGACGTGTGGATCATCACCAACTGGCAGGCCCTGCAGTGGGTACGCGACCCTACGCCCCTGTCCCGCGTCAACTCGTTCCAACCATTCCAGTGTAACTATTCGGTAAGTAGTCCGCTGTTCTACGATTCCGAAACTTGAGCGTTTCGCATGACTGACGTATCCTTGATCAACAGGACCGCCCAAAACGGTGCAACAACCCGAAGGTATGCAACCTGTGGCACAAATCTGGCGTCCGCTACATGCGCACGTGTCAACCCTGCCCCGAAATCTACCCGTGGACCGGTAAGACCGGTATCCGCTCGTCGCGGATCGACAACGACATCGAGGTGGCCGACACGAACTAAGTCAAGCTGATGGCAGTGCACTGAAACAGATGAAACTTTATTTTGTTTGTGTATAAGAGAAACTTTATATGGATTTGTTAGCGAGAAGAAGAAAATGAGTCAAGAAAATCGGTCATCCGGGAGATTCCTGGAAAGACAGCCAGGGGGACCACCGACGAACGGCAGGATATTAGGGGATATCGAACGTCTAGCTGGTTCTTTCCTTTTCTCCGGTTGTAGGTCAAAAGAAAAGCAATCCAACTATGATCTTTTCGTTTGAATTTATTTACCTGCAAACTAGGCGGTGCAATTTCCCGACTGCTCATTTCGAGTGATGACGATGAAAAAACTGTTCACGAAAAAATTAGAATTAGTACCTAGCCGTAAGTAACGAGTAAAAACAATGCTTCGCACTCACTTTTTCACCTCTACAAGATTGGTAATTTATTGAGTAAAAAAGTACCATCTTCATTCTTGGTCACCCGCGATCTGAATGAAGTTCTTCTGATATTATAATTTGTAAGATTTGATTTATAATTTTTTTTTACTCTAGCGTTGTTTTCCTGTAAATACGTTTTCTACTGAAAAAGATTTATCGCAATCCAGAGGAGAGTTCCGTGAAACGAAAACATGACAAATACTCACTCAATAGCATATAAAAGAAATCTTCATCGAAAGAGAAAAAAATACGATGTACCCTATAAGACTATATTCGACAAACAAATCAGACCCAGAACGAGAAGCAAACAAACAAAAATGGTGAAATGTAGCGCATTGCCATAAACAAGTCAAAGGGTTTGCCCTCCCAAGAACCCAAAAGCTGCACTAGCCTATAATTTCGTAGCAAAAAAGAAAAAGCAAATCCTTAAGTCAAACAAGGTTAGCTAGGTGTCCAGATCCATCGTCGCCGGATAAATTCCCTTTGGAATCGCTTCATGTAAAAAAAAAACAAATCATAAAAGAAAACTTATTTTTAGTGTAAATTTTAACCCCTTTCGGCACACCCGAATCGACGACCGATGATGGATTGCATACCTGGCTAACAACTATTTACTGTAAATCGAAATCCGAATTCAAGAGAGGGTAATATGAAACTGAAAATCCAATTTGGGCAGACTTGATTGACACGCTTGTTGAAACGAGAATCGGAAAATTAACTAAATATGAAAAGAATGACACTAAAATTGAATAGTGATATATTTATAGCTAGTTAGACAATAAATTATAACATTGCTGCTAGGAAAAATCTCTAATCGTAAGACTAAAGAAGAAAAGCAATCTATTGTACATAGGTAAGGTTTATTCACTCGATTCTATATATTTTTTACTTTCCTAAAACTACATAAATTTTCATATTTTTTTTTTGTTTTATTCACTTAAGAATATGAGTACAGAGATCGACTTCTTGAGTTATTCGTCTTTTATTGAAACACACTCGACAAAGTTCTACACAACCATTTATTTTGTCACAAATGCAATAAACTGCCTCTGCTTTCTAAGAGATCCATGCATATTTTATCGATACTTTTATAAGACGTTATTCCGTAACAATACGTGTATAATAGTGATATGTAGCGAGTGAAGGCAAAAGAGTTTATAAAGAGATACTATTTTCACAAAACAAAAACAAAGAAGATGTCATAAATCGATAGAAAAAAAATAGCAGGAAAGAGCTCGAATCTTTACCGCCAATGTATTTTGTTCGTAAGAGTTATACTCTCTAGGGGAAAGGTACGAACATCGGTAACGTGATAAGCAATAAAATTGGACAAATATTGAAACGAAAAAAAAGGTGAGTGTTACGGAAGTGAATCAATAAAATATGACAAATTTTTAATGACTTGTTGATTTTTTTTATTGCTTTTATGAGAAATTAAGTCCTTGTTCACGTGGAAGCTAGTATTAAACAACTTCTAGCTCTTCATCTTCTTTCATTTGTCCAACATATACTAATATATAAATTCTGCAAAAGACAGACGAACTTTGAATCACTATCCACGAAAACCACCGACAAACCGACATGAATCACCATCATCCCACGCATATTTTTCTCCAGTCGGTAGTTCCCAAGAAACATTTCTGGTTTTACGAGGAGAATACTAGATAAAACTTGCAATATTGCAGCATCCGAACAATAGATGATCGCGGTCGACGTCACGCTGGGCAAAAAAGGGAAATGCGGCAGCACACCAAGCACCATGGCAACAAATTTCCCAAGGATTACCTTAGGATCATTCCAAAAAGTCTTCACTGTTCTTTTCAGGATTTTCCTGAATAATCTTATGATTCTGTCCGAAAATTTCTCCATAGCAGTCTTGGAGTCACAATTCTTGTGCAGAACACTTTGGGGATTCCCTCCAGAAAACTCTTGAAAGTCAATCTTCCTTCATCTTCGAATTTGTAATATTTCTTGTGAGAATTTGCCTCAAACTTTGTTTAGAATTCGCTTGAAATATTTCTCGGAAATCTCTTGGTAGGTCGATTAAAATTAAGAAATGTATTCTCTCAAAATTTCCATGGATTTCACCTCAGATTTCCGTGGAAGTTTTCTTCAAATTCATCGCAAAATGCCCTTCAAAGGAGAGCGGGAAATTTCGCCGAATTATTAAATACAATATTTCACCACCCAAAATCCGCATTATCAAGCTGATTTCTTCCAAGGTTCACATTATACAATCTTTGCCAAGCCATTCCATGACATTAATTTTTCCTTCCTTGTGACTATAACACTCAGTAGCATGAGACCCCTGAACTGTGTCGCAGGGCCTGCATGTTACTGGGTATTCGGAGGGGCTACGCGGACAAAGTATGAAACCAGGAACATTCACATTTTCTAACACATTTATTTGTCTGGATCTGGTGACGTTCATCAGCCACATACGGCTCAGCAGGCGTTGCTGGCTCGTTTGGCTGGCAGGCGTCTTCCGTCGTTGACGGCATCGGCTGACCGTGGCATGGCCACCTTGGTCGAGCCGAGACGGGACCCTCCTTGGTAATTAAGGCCACCGGCCTGAGGGAATCGTCCCTGACGGACGATCGAGGATCATTTACTATTAGGCTCGGAAGGCATCTTGACTTCCGAGCCGAGCCGTGTAGGACCGTTTTATTTACGGTACGAGGTGTACAAAATGTACAAAAGCACAAGAGGTCCTGAGAATTATCAAATTCAGTCAGGGAAATTTCCGTCAGGATAATAAAAATCAATTACCTCAACGGAGGTAGGCTTTCCAGTCCAAACCCCACAGGGGGGGGGGGGTATGAAATGTGTAGTGCATATTTCACGATACCGATCTACACGGACGCCTGATTACTTCTGCCTAATCTTTCAAATCTAAGATGGCTAGCTATTCATCATCCAATTTGCGCATCCATTATTTTAATGCCAAGATTTTACTCCCTTCAGTAACGTTACGTTGTTGTTTGCAGCGGCACAAACCCTCTCGCTCTTGTGTGTGTCTACTGTTTTAGGTTTAACAAAACGTGAATTTTGTATATATTGCTCCTAGAGTCTCTGTTAATCGCAAACAACTTTTCGACATATGTGCGGTACTTCCCGCTCCATGGTTGATCATGGGAGATTTTAACTCCCACGGTACAGGCTGGGGGGAGCTGTACGATGATAACCGTTCTACTTTGATTTATGATCTCTGCGACAACTTCAACATGACAATACTTAACAATGGAGAAGTAACACGTTTGGCTGGTCCATCCTCGAATGGTAGCAGATTAGACCTCACCTTTTGCTCCAATTCACTATCGTTGGATTGCACTTGGCATGTAATCCAGGATCCGCACGGTAGTGATCATCTGCCGATCAAAATTTCGATTGCCAGTGGGTTCAACTCGTCAGAATCCGTTAACGTCGCGTATGATCTAACCCGTAACATCGATTGGACTAAGTTCCAATTAACGATAGACGATACAGTATCGTCAGTGGAAGAGCTTCCGCCGTTGGAGGAATATAATTTCCTCTTCAATCTCATCATCGACAGCGCACTTCAAGCTCAAACACGACCGGTGCCGCGATCGTCTATTCGTAAGAAAACACCATCGTTCTGGTGGGATCAACAATGCACGGAGGTTTACCGTAAAAAGTCCGACGCGTTTAAACTTTTTCGGAAACGCGGAACACGCGAGCATTTCGACGCATACACATCTCTTGAACGCGAACTCAAGAGCCTCATCAAGGCCAAAAAACGGGGTTACTGGCGGCAGTTTGTAGACGGATTGTCGCGCGAAACGTCTATGAATACGCTTTGGAGTACGGCGCGAAGAATGCGTAACCGGTCTACTAACAACGAAAGCGAGGAATGCTCGGATCAATGGATTCTTAAATTCGCGCGAAAAGTGTGTCCGGATTCCGTGCCGTCGCAGTTGATTCCTCGCGAAACCGCGAATTCGGTAGACGAAATCAGTCAGCCTTTTTCAATGGTCGAACTTTCACTCGCTCTCCTTTCGTGTGGCAATTCTGCCCCGGGATCTGATAGAATCAAGTTCAACTTGCTGAAAAACCTCCCAGACGTCGCTAAGAGGCGCATGTTGAACTTGTACAATCAGTTCTTGGAGCTCAATATTGTTCCCGACGATTGGAGACGAGTGAGGGTGATAGCCATTAAAAAGCCTGATAAACCCGCGTCGGATCACAATTCGTATCGGCCCATCGCGATGCTGTCGTGTATTCGGAAATTGATGGAGAAAATGATCCTTTTTCGCCTCGACAAATGGGTTGAGACGAACCACCTTCTTTCAGATACTCAATTTGGTTTCCGTAGGGGTAAGGGAACGAACGACTGTCTCGCGTTGCTTTCCTCGGAAATTCAGTTAGCATTTGCTAAGAAAGAGCAAATGGCTTCTGTGTTCTTGGATATCAAGGGGGCTTTTGATTCAGTATCCGTTGAAGTTCTTTCAGAGAAACTCCACGCTTGTGGATTGTCTCCATTAATGAATAATTTTTTGTACAATTTGCTGTCAGAAAAACATATGAGCTTTTCTCATGGAAACTCTACAGCTTTTCGATTTAGCTACATGGGTCTCCCCCAAGGCTCATGTTTAAGCCCCCTTTTGTACAATTTCTACGTTAGAGAAATTGACAATTGTCTTAGTGACAATTGCACGTTGAGACAACTTGCAGATGATGGCGTAGTGTCTATCACAGGGCCAAAAGAGGTTGACCTGCAAGGACCCTTACAGGATACCTTGGACAATTTGTCTACTTGGGCTATTCAGCTAGGTATCGAATTCTCCACGGAGAAAACTGAGTTGGTCGTTTTTTCTAGGAAGCATAGCCCAGCACAACCGAAGCTTCAACTTTTGGGTAAGCCGATCACTCATTCCATGTCTTTCAAATATCTTGGGGTCTGGTTCGATTCCAAATGCACCTGGAGATCCCACATTGAGTATCTGAGACGAAAATGCCAACAAAGGATCAATTTTCTCCGAACAATTACCGGAACGTGGTGGGGAGCTCATCCGCAAGATCTTCTAACGTTGTACCGGACAACGATTTTATCGGTTTTAGAGTACGGTAGTTTTTGCTTCCAGTCGGCAGCTAAAACGCACATCATCAAGCTGGAACGGATCCAGTATCGTTGTCTTAGTATCGCGTTAGGATGCATGCACTCGACTCATACTATGAGTCTCGAAGTGCTGGCGGGCATGTTGCCACTATCCGTCCGTTTTTCAGAGTTATCTCTGAGGCTCCTCACCCGTTGCGAAGTAATGAACCCACTGGTGATCGAAAACTTTGAGAAGCTTCTGGAGCTAAATCCTCAAACATGTTTTATGACTTTGTACTACCTATATTTAACACAGGATGTCAGCCCTTCAAGAAATATTCCCAATCGTGTAGTCTTCTCCGATTTCGGCAATTCAGTGAATTTTGATTTATCAATGACGCAGGAAATCCGCGGAATTCCAGAGCATCATCGTCCTATGATTGCTCCGTCATTATACGCTGCAAAGTTTGGCCATGTTGATTCTGCAAGAACGTTTTTCACAGATGGATCTCTAATAGAGGAGTCCGCTGGTTTTGGTGTATTTAATGAATTTCATAGCGCCTCTCGAAAACTTGAAGCTCCTTGTTCTGTGTATGTGGCTGAACTGGCAGCAATTCACTACACTTTGGAAACTATTGCTTCACTTCTTCCAGACCACTACTTTATTTTTACGGATAGTCTCAGTTCTGTCGAGGCTATCCGTTCCATTAGGCCGGTAAAGCACTTCTCGTATTTTCTCTTGAAAATACGAGAACTGCTTAGTGCTTTATCCGTGCGCTCTTTCATCATCACCTTCGCGTGGGTCCCTTCGCATTGCTCAATTTTGGGCAATGAGAAGGCGGATTCACTTGCGAAGGTGGGTGCTATGGAAGGCGACATTTATGATCGACAGATCGCCTATAGTGAATTTTTCTCTATTTATCGTCAGCAGTCGCTCGTTAGCTGGCAACATCAATGGAGTGAAGGGAGCTTGGGACGATGGCTGCATTCAATTATCCCTAAGGTGTCGAAGTTTGCATGGTTCAAAGGGTTGGACTTGAGTCGAGACTTCATACGCGTGATGTCTCGTCTCATGTCCAATCACTATTGTCTAAACGCTCACTTGTTCCGTGTGGGGTTGGGAGACAGCAATCTCTGTGAATGTGGACAAGGTTACCAGGACGCTGATCACATCCTTTGGTCTTGTGCGGAGTATCGTGGAGTCAGATCACATTTTTATGATTCCCTTCGGGCTCGAGGTAGACAACCTAATGTTCCAGTTCGGGATATTTTGGCTAGACGCGATCTGGAGTTTATGAAACTCATATATGTTTACTTTAAGGATATTAACCTTAGATTGTAA